TGTTTAAGGTTAAAATTCTTCAATTCAGTATCACTAACTTTTAAATGAATAATTTTTAATTAAATTTTCGATTTGGTGTTCATATGAATAACATTTTTAAATAAAAAATTATGCTTAAGTTTAGACCAGTACCCTAAATTTGGTTTTCTTCTGGACAGACAAAGTAAATTAACAGAAGAAAACTTAGTTCGTGTACTGATCGAAATATTCGTTAGATAGTGAAATCGTACAGAAATATATTAATATAATATATTCTATAATATAAATTGTAATAAAAAATATAATGCGGCGTATCCATTATTTTAGTGGCTAATTTGCACTATAACGAAAATGGGCTATTAATACCTTTATAGTGGGACAATTTTTCTAAAATGTGTCTCATTATATGTGTATTAGGACATTTGCTAAAAAGTGTCTTATTAAAAATGAAAAATTGTATGCATATTATGAAACACTATCATAAGTGTATTATGTGGGGATGCTTGTGAATTATTACCCTACTTAATGGGTCACTTTAAAGTGTCTTAATAAGTAAAAATCTAATCATACACTTTCAAATATTTTATGACTTATTGTGACTCGATTATAGGAGACACTATTTAGTAGTGTCCCACGCAATGTGAATCACATGTGTCCTATTACACCACTTATTGAGACACAAAAAAGTGTCTAAACTACTCATTTTTGTTGTAGTGTTGACAATTCACTCTACATATATACCATTTATATGTAGAAATGTAATCCGTAAGAAAACCTTTTTTGACTAGGGGAACTAGTATCCGTAGTATAATTAAGTATATTACTGCTCTTTACAAAAACTACCTGACTTAAAAATTTGTAAGAAACTAAAAATTAACTAGTACTTCTGCTATTTTAAAGAAGTCTAAGAGTGAGGAATTCGTCCACTCCATGTAAAATCGTTACTCGCTCATGTCATAATTTTCTATTCTTATATTCTTCCCTTTTCCGCGTGTTACTCCATGGCGAAAAATATTCTCTATGTCCCAAATAATTGTATAATTCGAATAAAAATAAGAGTGAACCTCAAAATGGGTCATTGAGCTATTAGTAATTCTTATACATGTCATCAATCAAATTTATTTGTACAACAGGTCACCTTGTTAAGCAAAAATTCATATGAGATCATTCTGCCAATTTTAACCGTTAAATAGTGACGAAAATCTATTTTTCACATGCTTTTTGGTTCAAGTGTATTTTTGTCATTTTATTATTTTTTAATTTCTAATCTTTTAAATTTTAAATTTTATTTTTTATCTTTTACAATTTTTCTTCTTATATTTCGTAACTTGTATACACTAGTAGTATAGTTTCTAAATTTCAAGAATTAGTTTAACTCTTGTATTTTAACTTATAGCTTATAAAATTTTAAAAAAAAATTTTAAAAATGAAGAAGAAAAATTCGAGTTAAAGTAAACATGAAAATTAATAATTTATCTTTTTTAACTAAAAGGAAAACTAAAAAAATAGCGAAGACTATGACGTCTGTGAGATTTAACCTACTTGTTATTTCGTATAGTTCCCGAGTAGCATGATGGACAGTAAAAATTCACCTAGTAATTCAAAGGAATAAAATATAGTGGGAAAAAAATATGAATATATTAGCGTGTGTTAAAACTAGAACAAAATTAATTTAAGAGTATAGGTTGATATTAAATTAAATTATGTAGCGATAATAAACTTTAAGCCTCTAAAGATTAATCTTGAAATACCGAATAAATAAATTAGATAAGAACAGACGAGATTAATAATTTAGGGTACTATCATTAAGATATTTAATGTTATGCATACCACTAGTATTGACTAATTAGTAAGTTATGTAGGACAGTAGTGTAAACTTGTTAGAAGCAAAGCTTCCCACGTACCATTTAGTTTGGTACTTGGTCACTAGGAGTATTAGCATGACATTTTATTCTAAATACAAAAAAAAAAGAGTGAGCTGTATTAGTAAACTTTTAAATAATGCTAGAAAACTATGAGATTCTAGAATGGGAAGTTACCTGAATTATTTTAAGCAGGAGGTGTCCCTTAATGACCTTATTCATTAGTCCTTTGGAATAAGCAACGTAGAAGCTAAGCTAGCCTAAAACGAAAGCTAAGGTGTGTGGGTTTTGCTGCACCGCCACTAGTATTTATCCTATTATAAAAGATAGCAACATTAGCTAGCTGGTTTTTTTTTCATCGGGAAGCCAGAAAGGATAAGAGAATACAAAAAAAAAAAAAAAGAATGAGAGCGAGGGGGAAAGGAACCGCAGGCCTAAGAAGTTCGCTTTCGGAACGTTGCCGATAGCTACTCTGGTAAGAGTCGAAGTTCTTGGTTTTCCATGAACGTTTGATACTGTATGACGGTTGTTCCGATGATGCTTAGCTATTGTGGAGGGAAAATAGAAGGGTGAAGTACGATGAGCTTCGGGTAGTATAGCATAAGTGGTGCGAAATTGATTTAACTTAAGAGAATTGGAACATGTTCCTATATAACTATTTGATGAAAACCAACTTGAAAACTAATCCAGCCTCAGAGAAACATGTCCGGTTAACCCTCTTTAAGCCTTAGCAATCAGGTTACAAAACTTTAGTAAAACAATCATAATTAAAAAGGATACTTGCAAGCACTAGTTTTAGCTTGTACAATTTTAATTGATTAAAACCCTTGAGTTTTAAGTCCTAATATAACATCCACCACCAGAGGATTAGAACCTATAATAATCTTAAAGAAACGAAAACGAAGTGTTTAAAACCAAACTTAATTTAGTCTTGATGGTTAGCCACTATTGCAGTATTAGTTAATTACATATAGTTAAAGAAAAAGTCAGGCACTGCATGAAAACTACTTAGTAATCAATTTCTATTATTATATAGAACTCCATCAGCTAGAAGCTTCTAATAAATTGAATAACATATAAACATAGTCATGCAATTAAAAGCGCCGGAAGTGGACTGTTGAAGTTCAACTAGAGAGGAGAAGAATTTCGTTGTCATAATAATAATAATAATAATAATAATAATAATAATAATAATAATAATAACAACAACACTAGTTCTAATTCGTAAATCTACAACTATAGTATTATATAAAGACGTTAATATTACTTAATAGTCATGTCATCGAGGAATTAGTGTTAGAGGTGGTAAAGGCCTCTATACGTGGTAGTTTAACATTCTTGGAAATTCCATTTGCAGATCAAGTGCACAATAACGCTGAGCTGATTAGCAATACCGGTGAGTTTTTCTCATTCTTTTAAAAACTGGGAGTATGGGAATATATATTTGAAAGTCACTACACCCTTGAGCACATTTTTAAATGTTATTGAAATATTAAATGCATATTGTTAGATGACCCGGAGGTGTACTTTATCGCCCCGGGATATGTGTTCTATGTGACTTCTAAGTGTTATTGTATCTGAGACAAAATGATATCGTTATGTGATCGAACGTACTTGATTGAATATGATCGTTGAATGTGTTGCTTCTTGTGGTATACTTTATCACTCCAGGAAAACTGTTGTTGTGATTGATTGATTGATGTCAAATAACGTGTGATTGTTGCTTCGGTGGACTCTGTTCACTTGGAGCCTGGGCCCTGCCTTGATAGGCGAAGCCTTGCGGGCCGGCATCGGGCTTGGTCGCCAGGTTAGCTTACCTAGGCTTATCGTGTTGTCCGGATGGACGCGGAACTCATGAGTATCCAATGGTGGCCATGAGGTGTTGGAGAGGAATTGTTATTGAATCATTATCGTATTTTTGAATCGTTATCGTGTTGTCCGGATGGACGCTATAGTATTGTTTAAATCTGGCTTGGAGTCCGTCTCTGTGCCACGTAGGCTCTTTGACGGCCCTTACTAAGGTTTCTCTGTACTCACCCTGTTGTTGATTGCGTAATGTGAAATAGTTGATTGTTGAATGTTTCCATGTGAAATCGTTTTATATTTGAATATTGCTTTTCAAAAGAGTTTTATTAAAAGTATCGTAGTAGTATAGTGAGAACCTCACTGAGCTCGGCACTCACCCCTTTTTACCTTTTATTCTCCTAACCCACTCCCAGGTCCGAGCGCGGTGGAAATTTAGCCAAGCTATGAAACGATCGGTCGTGAGACGGTGTTCGATGTAAATAGTTCGCTAGCCAGTTTGTGTTAGTTTACGCGTGTGTAATATAACCTCTTTTGACGAGAAACATAACTCAAGCTCACGTTTGAGCTTTGTAATAATGTTGCTTTTGTACTTTTATGGAATATAAAGTTTGCGGGTTTTAATAATTATTTGATAAACGAACCTTAGCGCGAGCTAGGTGGACGCCTTAACTAGACCATTCAGTTGGGTAAACCTGAGTGGCTCTAGTATGGGTCGTCACAAAGACAAGTTGTTTCTTCTATGTTATTTAATATTTTTCAACTCGATTGAATTATTTAATTATTAATTTTCACGTTAACTTCAACTCGATTTAATTTGTCATTTGTCTCTTAACTTCTAGATTATAAAAAAAAGAATAAGAAAAAATATATAAAATTCAAATTGAAGTTAACCTGAAAATTAATAATTATATAATTCAATCGAGTTGAAAAAAATTAAATAACCTAGAAGAAATAACTTGTTCTAGCTAATTCTTTTAGTTTAAAATGGTAAACTATTAATTTTCATGTTTACTTTAACTTGAATTTTTCTGCTTCATTTCATAATTTTTTAAAAAAATTTTATAATCTAGAAGTTAGAATACAAAAAGTAAATTAGTTTTTGAAATTTAGAAATTATACTACTACTCTACTAGTATATACAGGTTAAGAAGTATAATAAGAAGAATTATAAAAAAAATTGAATTTTTTTAAAAGATTAAAAATTTAAAAATAATAAAATGATAAAAATACCTCTGAACCCAAAAGCACGTGAAAAGTGGATTTCCGTAACTATTTAATAGCCAAAATTAACAAAATGATCTCGGATGAACTTTTTTCTTAGCATGGTAACCAGTTATACAAATAAATTTGATTGATGACCTATATTAGAATTACCTAATATTTCAATAACCCGTTTTGAGGTTCACTTTAAAAATAAAATTTAAATCTGAGAATTATTTCGTAATGTAGAGATTACTATTTTTTTGAAAAAAAAATAAAATAACACAACATAGTTCTTTGTTTTTGCTCTACTGATTAGCTTCATTTTTTCCCCTCTTGTAGGATTGGTCCATTTGGTTGAATGGCCTGTATATCCAAAATCATGACAACTTTCGCAAAATTAGGTAGGCACCATGCTGAGGTTGTAGTGTAATTAGTGTGTGAGGTGCGTGAGTGTAAGATGGAGAACGCTGGAAGGAGAATCTCTGCAGGATCAAAGCCATTGCTAACTTTGCTTCTAGAATGGCAAAATTCTGTCCAATGCATATTCGAGGCCCCCAACCAAATGGTACAAATGCAACTTGTCCTTCATTTGCACTTGCTTTTGAAATTCCTTCACTAAATCTTTCCGGTTTGAACTCCTTCACATCATCACCCCATACTTCGGAATCATGATGTAACATCAGTATTTGAGGTATCAACAACAAACCAGCTGGAAGAATATACTTTCCTAATTTTGTTTCTTCGTGTGTTCTTCTAATGAGCGTTGGCGCTGATGGATACAGTCTTAGAACCTCGTTAAAGATCATCGTAACCTATTAAGGAAACATAATTCAGAATATTAAACTAAAGTTTAAATGATTGGCAACCCTGAAAAAGTATAATCCTCTGATCCTTATTTACGGCGTTTTGATTTATCCTAAATTTTACTTATTATATTTTTTTTATTAAGAACAAAAATCCCTAAAACTATATTTCACATTCATTATGTTCTCCTAATTATTAAATAGTATTTTTAATATTTTTATATAAATTAGAAAAACATATTAAGTGAAACCTATGATAAATCAATATGTTTTATAATAAGGACCGAAGGATTACTGTATATGTGGGTGATGAGATTATTCAATAAATCTACTCACCACTTTGAGCTGATTAAGGCCTTCAAAATCAACATCTTTGTTTCCAAAAACTTGCAAAACCTCATCTCTAGCACGCGACTGCCAATCTTCGTGCTTGCTAAGTAGAATCAAGGTCCATACGAGCAACGATGAAGTTGTCTCCTGCCCAGCAAAATAGAAGAGTTTGCATTCTTCGATAATATCTTCGATGCTCAAACCGAAATCTTTGTTTCCTCCTCGTTGTTCAATCTCACTAGAATTAGATTCCAACATTATGCCCAGTAAGTCATCCTTGTTTTTCTCTCCTAGTTTTGTTGCTTTCACTCTCTTGTCAATAATTTTCCGAATTTTCGTTCTAACTAGCTTTTCAATCTCATTCATTCTTCTGTTTCTCTTTGTTGGCAAAAACCTACATGAACAGAAATATCAGGCAGCTATGTACAACTAAAAGCATATTCTTTAATCTTATCTCTAATTCTCCATTAGGCATTTGATAAGTGTGTTCTATCATCATTCCATTACACTAGATTTCACAATGGATTAGACCTTACATAGTATATTATCATATGCTTGGACCTAAATAGTGACAGATTCTCCGTTTCGGATAAGCAGTTTTGTTCGTTCATTATTTCAAGTCAACAAACAAACTCTAATTTTGAGACGGAAGGAATAGCTTTTTGCGAAGTTCACAAGCAGATTTCAACGATTTGAAAAATAAGCTAATCAAAAGGACTTCTTGTAAAGTGAGTGGCAAAAATATTTATTCTAACCTTAATCCTGGGAAATTTAACGATTGAATAGCTGTGGTAACATGTTGTGCTTGTTCTTTTTGGAGTTCAAATATCTTTCGTCCTTCTTCGTAATTGCTACCAAATGCTGTATGGGAAATAGCATCAGCAGTTAGAGTTTGGAGAAAAGGCCACACATCCAAATTGCATAATCCTTGGGGTGAAAGGCTTTCTTCCCATTTAGCCAACATTTCATCCACACCCAAACGGAAAGCTGGCACCATCAACTGAATATATATAATAACAAAAAAATTAGAATAAACCTATTATATTTGTAATATAGAGACTACAATTCATGCTACCCTTTGCATTAACAACCGTTCAATCAATGAATTCACAAGAATCACATTGTTAAATAATTTCATATAAATTACTGTATGATAGTGACAGTTATAGGAAATTATTTTTTTTGCAATATTAAAACACAATGAATAACAACTCCGAGCGATAAATAGTAAAAAATAGTCCAAAAAAAGAAACCTTGATCTTCTCCATATGGAAAGCAGGGTTAATTAGCCTTCTGTCTTTGGTCCACTTCTCTCCTTGGGCTGTAAACAAGCCTTGGACCAACAATCTAATGAGTGGATTTGAATTAGCCTTTTGGAAAATATTAGGCTTAAGGAAGATCTCCTTCAAAAGTTTAGGGTCCTTGATGATAATTGCAGGGGTTGGCCCAAGCCAAACAAAAGAATTTGTACCTGTATTGTTTTAGAGAAATTCAATGAAGTCTAAAGACTTCAAAAAACAAAAAAAAAGAAAAAGAATTTCGACGGATTTTAAAAAATAAAAGAAGAACTCACCAACCCAATTATAATAATTTTAATGCAAGAAATAAAATCTTCATTTTGAGATATAAATAGTACTGACTCATTATAAACTAACTACTATCAGAATATCAATTATTAATGTATTTGCATTTTACTATTCAAAACTTATTTTTTTCAAGGCTAAAACTAATAATCACGTCACAAATAATATTAAATTTCCTATTATTAATTACTTTGCAGGCGGCCATGGAAAAGTTGGAAAAAGAAAGTTGACTGAGTGGATGATGATGATGATTGATGACATACCATTTTTCCGGATGGTTTCAACGGAGAAAGGACAAACTCGCGGCAGGATATCGTCGGAGAGATCCGTCAACGGCTTCAATTTAGCTTCTTGAGTCATCTTATGAAATTCTTTCAGGTCACCAAAGATGGGATTGTAAGGATTTCCGACAAGACCTTGTGATCGGAGTTGCTTCTCAAGTTTTCTGGGATGAAACCATACGAAATCCAATGCTTTCCATACACAAAGAAGAAAACCAAGAGCACACGAAATTGTAAGAAATGAATACATGGGATCTTCCTGTATCGATTCTCGATCGTCTCTCACATCGAATATTTTCACCGTTAGCAAGCTAGTTGACTTCCTGAGATTCATTGAGTGCAATATAGCATAGATGAAGAGGAACTTCTTTTAATTCTTGGAGAAATTTAAGGCGTGGTCAAATGTGTTATAAGACTGCAATATGACTATAGTGGTTTAATTAATCAATTTTGTATTTCTGTCTTTGAAAGTACACAAAGTCGTTAGTTGAACTTTGAATCAATCAACAAAACACGCTACACATTTAACCATACATGGTGTAGTTACATTGACCTCCCTAAAGTGTTAGTTATCAATAGTGGCTTCTTTTCTAAATAATTTTATACAATTATCTATACTAAATTAGTTTCAAAATAATTATATTGTTGTTATGAAATATTTGATTTGATTTGATTGAATGTCTATAATTAACATATGTTATTCTATTCACAATCAATGATATATGATTCAGTAATATTTAGCATTAATGATAGGTGATTCATTTCCCACAGTTTGTTCTCCTACTTTTTGTATAAATAGGGAGCTCATTCATGTTTCAAAATACATCTGAATACAAGTCTCTTATCTCTCTCTACTCTGTTGTGTCTCCTCTTTGTTCTTATGCTTAGTTTCATATTAGTAATCTAGCATTAATTTGATAATACATTATCAGCACGAAATACTCTAGCAAAAGAGCTTGTACTACCGCCTGAAATTGGTGCGTATTGATTTTGAAGCCCTGAAACCTCAATGAATATTTTAATTCTACCACCATCTGAAATTGGTGCGTATTGATTATGAATGTCTGAAGCCTCAATGAATATTTTAAAAAGTTTTCGTGATCTAAAGCGACGTGACCTCAAAAACTTTTTGGTGCACAAGTCTCCAGCCACACTGAGACGGCTCATCATGGAGCTCAATTTAATGACTCAAAATGATGATGATGAGAGAAAAAGGTAAATCATAAATCATGCATATTTGGTTTGCATATGAAGGAAAAATATTTCTTGTTATAAATTCTATTTACTTATATCATACAATCACGATGCAATTTTTAAGCTATGTATATGACTGTTGATCATGTGGATGTATAAGATTTATATAAGTTGCATGCAATTGCGATAGTATCCATGTGTGCAAAGAAAAAAAAATATTTTCTTTAAAGAATTAATTTCTTTGATATTTAGATTGCAAGGAAAGCACTTTGTTTTATTATCATACGCTTATTAATATTAGTAAAAATGTATTGATAGAAAGAAATCTCCTTCTCATATTTTACTTTGTACTTATATATTCTACATTACTCATAGTATTGCTGATATTTACTAATGCAAGTAAAATATATTGCCAATAGCAATATGTAAATGCTGAAGTAGTAATATTGTGATAGCATATTTACCATATTAAATTGCTCCAGTAGTAGCATTATCACAAAATATTTGATGAAATCTTATGAAGTATTTTCTTTTTATTCTCCGAAGTGAGCGGGCAATAAATTATTTCAAGGAAAATCGTAGACATTAAGGGTATGTTTGTTTCGTTTTTTTAATATGTGTTTTTAGGTATTTTTTGTATTTAAAATGTAAGAAGCAGTATTGGAAATATAAAAAAGTATGCTGAGATGAGACAGTTATTATTTTATTAATCTAAAAAAACCATTAAAAAAACTAAACAAACAAAGCCTAAATCTACATTAATTATATATAGTATACAATTCTTCACCTGAAGTTGGAGAGTAAATGAAGACATGTTCAATTTATACATGGTCCATTTCCTGAAGTAAATGTGACGATTATGAAAAAGTGATAATAGTAATTGTGACAAATACATTATTAACCACTTGAAGTTGGAAAAATAGTGAATTTACCATTGCCTCTAGAAGAACAATTGGAATTGAATAGTGAAAGGAGAAAGATCATTAAGATTATTCAAAGAATCAAAGAAGGATAGACATTGTTCTAATTGTCTCCATCAGAAGAGCAATACACTTTACTTTTTAAAGAGTAAGAATACTATGATAGAATGAAAATACTAATGTAGAGTATGATTATCTCAATAAGATTATATGTATGCTCCATAAGAGCAAGAACACTTACGGTAGAATGAAAATAACTAAATAACAGATACTCTGTCAAAGTAAACACTCAGGTAGAGCGAAATTGTTATGGTATATTTGAATAATTAATTCACTATTTTTCTCCAGAAGAGAAATTCTATAATTTGGCATAATTACTTAAGCCATTCTTCACTGCTGCTTCTGTTTTTCCCAAAAAAAAAAATTCATTGGGCATCTGGCACTGACTTCCAGACTCTGAGAGGAACCATATCAAACATGAACTCAGTTGGAAAGTGCAACAGACTTGTAAGAAGCTTAAGGCAGCTGAGTTACATTATTTAAAAAAACTTGGAATTGAGATATGTATAGCAAATAAGTAGCTAGTAGACAAAAAGAGTAAAGACAAAACTATGTAAATAGTTGTATATTTTGTGCAGTCTGATCAATATAATTCACATTTTAACCAAAAAAAAAAATTTATGAGACTATTAAATTTGGCAAACTCGCTGCTCTGTTTTTGTTTTTGAGACTATTAATGGTGGGAAGAATAAAAGGTGGGATCGTGAGAAAATTAGTGAAACAAAAACAGAGAGATGCTTTGGGCGATGGTGATCTGATCTTTACATGAAGGAAGAGAATGATGCAGGAAAATCTTGTGTGAGTTTGTCAAGGGTAAGAGAAAAAGGAAATAGGGCAAATAGTTAATGTAGTATGGTAGTCCCAAAATTATTGATTTAAATTAAAAACGAAAAATCCAATCTGGATAATAATTTTGGGATGGAGGGAGTACAAGATTTAGGAGAGGAGTTTGAAAGGAAGATGGAGGAAACTGAGGGTTTTGCAAGAAACCGAAGGGATGGAAGGAACTGAGAGGGGATGTATGATTAATCACTTAATTGGTGGGCAATGAAAGGGCCATTGAAAATTAAATTTTTCAATAAATGTTATTATTATGATTTGGGTTCAACGAGAAAAATTGACCATTTTTTTCTCATTATTGCCGTCTTTGAGTTTACCAAAATTAATCGGATTACAAAAAGGAAGAAGAAATTAATAAACAATCTCCAGGTTCAACATATAGAAAGTACTAGTAGTTCAGCATTGACTTATTACTAAGAAATGTTCTCTTCAATATTCTTTGAATAAAAAATGGCTGCAAATTCATCCCAAATCACCCTAAAGCTTCTGGTGGACACAAAGAGCAAAAGGGTTTTGTTTGCTGAACCTGGGAAAGATGCAGTTGATTTCCTGTTCCACATATTGACTTTGCCAATGGGTACTGTCATTAGGCTTCTCACCAAGCAAAAATGGTGGGTTGCCTTGGAAACCTATATGACAGCGTCGGAATTCTTGACGAAACATACATCCACCAAACCAAGACAAAGAAAACCTTCTCGAACCGAAAACCTTAGTTGATGAAACCACAATTTCAAGGGGTGCTTGACTTTTGGGTAAGCCAAATCCAAAAGTGTGGAACAAAAAATGTGTAGGGTTTTTTTTGTGGACAAATATAATATTTTCGCGCTTTGAAAACGCGAAACAAGAAAATTGGATTAACAATTCGCGTTTCTGAAACGCGAATCATTTTAATCATCTTTCCAAAAATTCGGTTGAGAGAAGAAATTGAATAAAAAAAAGGTAATCATTTTTCGCGTTTTGGAAACGCGAAAAATTGGATTAACAATTCGCGTTTCTGAAACGCGAATCATTTTAATCATCTTTCCAAAAATTCGGTTAAGAGAAGAAATTGAATAAAAAAAGGGTAATCATTTTTCGCGTTTTGGAAACGCAAAAAATGGGTATAGCGTTTTAGAAACGCGAAAAATTATTTAAAATAAATTGCGGTTTGATAAGAATTTAGCGTTTTCAAAACGCGAAAAATTTCTTCTAGCGTTTTGAAATCGCGAAATATCCAGAAAATCTCCTCATCCACTCATTTGGCTCCACGTGTATTTTGATGATTTATATACTAAACGCGAAAATTTGCGTTTTGTAAACGCGAAATTTAAGATTTATATACTAAACCAAGCAAAATAACAATATTTTTTCGTTCATTCTGTTCAGGTCCGATTTTAAGATTCTGCGAAAGCTCTCATTTCCTTCAATTTGAGAAATTGCTCCGAAGTTAAAGAAAATTGATTTGAGTCCTGAATCCGTAAAAGCTCTCATTTCCTTCAACATTCAGGTAAGTTAATTTCGTTATAGAAAATATGTACTTTTTTATGCCTTATCGTGAGCATAGGATGATTTACGCATTATTATTAGTTAATAAATAATTGTGATTTAGTCAATTAACGGTGATTTTTTAATTAGGCTGATAAAGTGAATTGAAAGAAATATTAGTTAATAGAATGTTAAATTAGATTAGCGTTTTGTAAATTATTGTATATCGATTTCTGTAAAATAAAATAAAATTATAAGAATGATATTGAATTTTTGAATACTTTTAGCATAAGAATAAATTATGTAATTCGGGCATAAGGTTTAGATTTTATATTAATTTTTAGCATAGAAATGAATTTGTAAATTCAGGCATATAGTTGTTCTTTTGAAATTATTAAATCTGTAAACGGGGTAAATACTGTTTCCGCAGAACTAAAAATCAAAATGTATGCTAGTGTTCTTATTTCGTAGGAATTGATTTTGCAGGCCGCAAATGTCTTTCACGGAGACAGTTCGTCTGAAATTATACTGGAATACTACTTATACAACTGAACCTGATGGGACTATCACGGTACAGCGGGATGCGCCGGACGGTTATCTTATCATTAATCGTATGTTAGATTTCTCGGAACTTGTTGATAAGGTATGTGGTGTGATGGAAGTTGATAGAGAAGGTTTGTATATTGATTTTTCTTTGGCATGGACGGAGAGGTCAGGAAAAAGGTCTTGTGTGCACATTAATGATGATAATACTGTTCGGTTCATTTATCTTTGTGCTGATAAATGGCCAGAATTGTACCCTGAAAATGTTGAGAGAACAGGCCATGTTTATGCAAGTACATCTGGCCAGGATATTGGTGCCAGCATTAGTGGTGGTAGAACAGTTGAAGACAATGAAGATGGAGATGAAGATGGAGATGAAGATGAAGATAAAGATGAAGATGCAGATATTTTATCTTCTTCAGGTATTTTATCTTTTCATTTCTCTCTAGTTTCATTTTATATTCTCCCATTATTATTGGTGATTTTATCTAGTGATTTCTTCATTCTGAATTAGCTCTGGGCCTGGGAGCGGATTCTGACGGTTCAGCCTAAGATACTGGGTGGGGATCTCGATCTATCTGATTGTCCATTGGGCACGAGGTAATCTTATACATCAAACCTTCGTAAATTTTGACATTTTGATTTGTACTATCATGTCTCAATTTAATGTTACTTTCTCCGTGCAGGTGGTCCCGTGAGAAAAAAGTTCAAGGTATCACGCGGTTCAATTTGGCCGCGTACCGGGATTGGCTTGCAGTTCTCGCAGAGTCTGATGTTAGTATTCTATTCAATTAGTATAACTTATGTTTTATTCGTTTTTTTTAACGGTGCCGGACTTTTAATTACGCGTCTCTTACATAATTACCATTTCAGTTTGTATGGATGCCGTACACGACTCTTTTGGGTCGTATTGCCAGGGTTTGTCTTGTGGGACATGGCATATGGCGATCTCAGACATGGCTCATCTGCGGTGATGTCGTTGCGCCACACAACCCCAGTAGGGTATTTCGCCAATTTGGTTATCACCGGCGGAAATTACTAGCCTGCTCAAGAGGAAGCCGTTTGGAGGATCCGATAGAAGATGGTTACAACAACTAGGGATATATCTCCAGGTTTGGAATGATCGCCACGGCCAACTTGTGGGGACTGATGATGATTATGTTGGCGAGCCTTCCGCAGATCCGGAGTATCTCTTGTGGTACCATTAGGTTACTGTGAAGTATGTTACGGATCCGATGGACTGTGAAAATGCGAGGGGTTTTCACGGCTCTGCAGCGACCTTGCACCTCATGGTGAGTATTTCGCCTACAGTCCATTTGGTTCTTTTTATTAACACTGTTGTCGATTTATGATTCTTTCTAATAAAAATTTCAGGCCACATTGATGGAGGACATTCGTAGTCTGAGTATTATAGGCCAGCGTACTTTCGACGCGGACTCCTTTGGTTATGATCGCTTAGGCGAGATTTCCCAGGTTGCTGAGCGGGCGTTGTCCGTCAATGCAACAAATGTTGTACGCCACGATCTCGATAGGCATGTTGAGGTTAATGACATTTTGAGTCAAGAACTTGCACCTGTAGACCCGACCCAGCAACATCCACCACCCAGACCTCCGAGGCGTTCGCGCAGGTCTCAGCGTGGGCGTGGGGGGCAAGAGACAATCACATCATCTCAGCCACATCAGTCCTCCCAGCATGAGCAGTCTCATATTCCCTTCACTGGCGGTTCATCCCATCAGTGTCCACATCAGTCTCCACTCCATTCTCGACAGCATTCAGTCCATCAGTCTCCACATCATTCATCCCATCAGTCTCCACATCATTCTTCGCCGACCCAACAGGCGTTTTACCGTCCAATTATGTCTCCCCAGCACCAGCAGTCCAATTTTGCCTTCACTCAGTTTTCCTCCCCTCAGACTTCTCAGCGTCAGTTTGGAGATTCTTTTATTGACTTTTCTGGGTTTCAGCAGAGTTCGCTAGATGGCCAGTCGATACATTACACGAGTAACTTTCTTTCGAGTATGTTCGAGGGTGTTGCGGGTCAACATCAGGCTGATGACCCAGCTGAGGGTGAGCGTGAGAGTCAGGGTGAAGATGAGGCTGAGGATGAGGTTGAGGATGCAGACCAGGATGATCAGTTTGAGGGTCAGGGTTATCAGCGCCATGAGGAGCAGGGATCGAGTCAGACTCTAGGGACTCCACCGTTGGCTGTGAGTAAAGGCCAGAGAGTGACGAAGGAGCCCGATAGAATGACTTATAGCCTTTTTCGGGCTAAAAAGCCCAAGAAGAAGTAGGGTACTAGACTTCTTATGTAGTATTATTAGACTTGTATTTTTTTTTTCCCTTTTGTTCATTTCTGTTTTTTTTCCTTTTGTTATGACTTGTTTTATTTTTTTTACCTTTTGTTATGACTTGTAGTATTTTGTTATGACTTGTATTAATATTCTTAATAGTTTGATTTCACCTGCATCGTAAATACAATAATTAATATTTATAAAACACATCTTCGCCAATCAAATCGAAACACATATTTAAACTTTCTTAAATTTTTTATAATTAATAGTTGCTTCATCTTAAGTGTTGGTAAATTATAATAAATATTTAATAAAATTTATTCCTATTTTAAGCTTTTTTCTTATATTAAAACCATCATAATTAATAAAAATAATTTGTAAATTAAATTACATCTCATTAAATCCATAAAATTACGTCATTATCATTATTGAAAATTTTTCATATAAAATTATTTTTTAAAATAATGATTACATTTTTAATAAAAATTTTTAATATAATCATTATTAAATTTTTTTATATAATGTTCTAAAAAATTAATACATTATAATAACTACATCATACTTTTAATAATTTATATTTAGTATAGCTCTATTTAATTTAATGTGTATCAATTATAATATTATATTCTTATTCAAAATTTAATTTTTGTATTATTAAAATTATCAATATAATTTTTCTCTTTATAGCTCTATTCAAAATTTAATGATTAACAGTTATAATTTTAAAATTTTCTGTTACCATTATTCAAATTTAATAATTTTTTGAAGTCAATTTCCCTATAACGTTTTAAACTAGTCAAATTAATCATATTTTTATGCCTATTTTATTTTTTATTTAAATAAAATATTTTTTTAATTGATTTCGCGCTTTGAAAACGCGAACTCTTATTTATTCAAGTTAATTAATTAGGATTAAGTTAAATTAATTACGTCTTCTTATTTTTCGCGTTTCTGAAACGCGAAAAACATATATTAGCGTTTTCAAAACGCGAATTTTAGTTTTTAGCGTTTTCAAAACACGGATTTTGATTTTTTCGCGTTTCTGTAGCGCGAGAAAGCTATTTTTGGCTACAATTTAAACCCTAAGCATATTTTGTTCTTCATTTTTTTTTTTAGCTATTAATAAGTAAATTTTCCCAATTTCAAGCCCCCTATTTGCCCTTCCCTCACCTCCAACCCCTGAAAAGGTTGCTTATACTTGCAGTGACAGGTGCAAAACGGTTCCTGTGGTCCAAATGCGGACAACTACGGCTATTGCAACTGCGGAACCTATACACAATACTGCAAGCGCTGTAAGACTGGCAGTGATAATATCAACCAAATCTTATTCCTTTTTAAATTGGTACATAAGGAATATCGGAAGTTTATAGAGATACACTTTATCAATAAAAACAAACAGATATATATTCATATTTCAACCATTCATATTTTGTGGTCATCGTGAATTAACAAGGTGTATTATGTTCCATTATTTTTCAATATTGACATAGATCTGGATTGTGTTTCTAAGGTTTTTCTCCATCCTTTTCGGTTAACTCAACCTTTTCGCTTTTTATTTACTTTCTTCATCTCAGCCATAGAGGATGAAGGTCATGTATTGTATACGTGTACGAAAGAGCAATCATTGAAAGAGCTATTCATGTACGAATGGACGTGGAATATTCTTCGAAGAAGGGTTTAGGGCTAACAATTTGAGGATTTGAAGGATTTATTGGAGACTAACGGAGGAAGCGTGGTTCATTTTTTGAAACGTTTTTTCATATTTTTTCAATAATAAATGGCATATCATAGCATATCCTTTTATATTTCTACTAATACATTATTTTTAAACTTATCAATAAAAAAAATAAAATAAAAAACTAAAAAATCCAAACATAACCAACGTGGGAGTTAAACCAACGGAGAAAGCGATGTAGAAAAAGATAGAAACAATTACCAAGCACGGTTCAAGTCTGCATAAGATGTATTAAATGACTCTAGCTAAAAGGATTTTTTCGAAGTATTTGTGTGACCATAACGATGAGGAGGAGCTTCGGGGAAAAGGAACTGCCTAATTCTCCTGTGCCCACAAATTCGGTTTATCCTGAAAAACCAGAAACTTGCATCCAGATTCAAAAAAGTGACTTATGTCAAAGATTCCATCCATGGCTGTGGAAGTTAGTCTTTGATAGTCCTTACCTAGCCTTTAAGCTTTGTGTATGTTTTACCGATTATAAAACATTGTGGTTGCTATATTATAGAAAAAATAAAAAAGGCCTATCCCAATAGTCGGAACAACCAAGCGTTGGACGTGCAATATATGTAGGTATATAAAAGTACCGTCCTATGGATTTTCCTTGCAAATGCGTGTCAAATTCAACATGAATGATGAACATATCCGAAGACATGGATTGCTGAGATAACCTTCTTTAGAAGATTTATAACATACTAAACGAGCTATTCCTACAGGCATTTGTTACTACAATATATATTAACAGAAATGATAGTTGTGTTCGTCAAATGTCTGCCTGTGCTAATGCATTAGATAGCATCACAAAAACACTGTTCAATTGAGCAAAACAGAAAGCCAGTTCTCTCTTGGGTAGTTGATGTTGATCGGTCAATTAAGCGAATCCTAGCTTTTATGCACTCAAATCCGTTCCTAACAGTTGACGGACCCGAAAATTTCATATACTAAAGACGTAACTTGTAAATTTTTTTATAGTTACGACTAGGGTTTTTCTTGACGAAGTCACTGATTTACAAGTACAAACATTAGAATATCACAAGCTTATAAATTTTTGTATCTATATATTAAAAATTTCCAGAACAAGCGCAATAGCAAACATAAAAAATCATGTATTCGGGCTATGAAAATATAAGGCATCTCTAATAAAATAATAACAAAAAACTGGAGATGGAGGGAACTGCAGCTGACATACGTCGGCTGGTTGTCCCTCCGCCAGCAGTTCCGATACAAATCGATCCTAGTGACCATACTTCTGAAATTCCCACTCGCTATTATCTAACGGGCAGACTTGCCGGGTTTTGAGCCACCGGCTGATGCAGTGGAAGTGGAAAGCATGGTTGCAAACACCCCAAGCCACCGTGCATTCGTCGCTCGCGGTGCTCGCCTGATTCGCCTGGCACTCGATGCATAGATGCATGATATGGTTCCTGCAAATCGCGCAGTTGTCCACAACTATATCCCATGCCCACAACGCCACCGCGTTCCACTTCTTGAGCTCGAAACGGTTCCCGGCCTTTTTCGACGGCTGCTCTTCTCTACCCGCCGGAACCATAACTACGTGTTTGTCCATTGTCGGTGAAATTAAAATTCGGAAGAAAGTTTTGTTATTCTTTCTTGTTGTCTCCTCTCTGAATTCAGATTTTCTATGGTTTCTTTTATTGGTGCGTATGTATTTGGAGGTAGAAGGTTCATCGGGTATTTATAACAAAGTACACAAACCCGGTTCTGACGTGCATAAGGTTTTACAATTATTTTTCGGATTTTCTACCTCTTTTTAAAACCAAATCCTAAGCGTACTTGATTGGAGTTTCTGCGTTTACCAATCATGATGATGCCTATAAATTATTGATAATCGGACACACGTCATTATACGGATTGTTAATTTTCCTAGTATTAGAGGAGCGCGAAAAAAAAAGGATAACAATGTCCATGTGGATCCCAGATTAAGGAATTTGTGTACGTCTTGCAATTAATATACAATAAGCTTTTTTTTAATTTTCGTTTTACAACTAAACATATGATTTTATGTACTTTCTGTCTAAAAAAGAAAAGAAAAAAAGAGAATAGTTTTTAGAATTGTATTACTTCCACGTCCTAAAATTATTGTCCAATTTTGGATTTCACTTTCAATATAAATTGCATTAAAAATGAAAATACAAACTAAGAAATAATTGTTAACGCGATATGCCGATATGGACGAGCATAATTTTTCCCTTTTGTACAAAGAAAAATAATGCTCCATCATTATGTAAATTATGAGGATAAGAATTCCTTATAACATTGTACACCAACCGCAATTTAATGATGAATCAAGTAAATTATAAAATCCTTGTGTATATAGTCGGCAAATTAACTGATAATTAGCAACAAAAATGCATTGTCCTCCTTGATTTCATAATTGGAGTTGATTCTTTTTCTGGGTCTCGAATAAGTATGCCCACATGAAATCTATTAAAACTAATTATTATTATCCCTTTTGCCCTATTAAAGCAGAATACAGGATGTTGATGTGGCAACTTCTTATACAAAATTTTTGGCTCCAAATGCGACATATTACATAAACCATTTTGCCATGTGTCATTCTCTTTCTAAAATAAAAAATAAAAAATAAACTTATTTATGGATAAATAAAAAACTTCTAAAACACACCTCCGGATCACATTAAATTCCTACAAATTAGTGAAAATTAAAATTCAAAGCCCTTAGTCAAATTCCTTCCAAATTGTTGAACACTCCCATTTCCACAGAATGCATCCAAAAAATCGAAATATTCAACCATTGCATCAATGACCCTTCAAATCTCATAAATAACTCTGACCAAAATTTTGCTTCAAATTCCTATCAAAAGGTTTCAAATTAAAAATTTTGCTCCCATGTTTCCAGGCGAACAAAAAAAACAAAAGTTTTAATGAAATTTATTGTTATGATCTTCATTTTTTATTTCTCACAATTTGATTCCTATATTATTTTGATTAGTTTAGAAGATCTTTTTTTTATGTAATCAATTAAAAGATCCTAAAATTTAGATGATAATTTCAAATAAATATCTTTTCAACCTCATCTAACATTAAATTCACTTATAGATATAATTATTATTTCTATCATTACACATTATAATAAAAAAATATATATAACCACATACGTATTTCACTAGGTTAGAATTTCCCATTCCATTTGCAAAAAAAAATTACTTATAACGGAAGGGGCCGCCCGGGCATCTGCCCGGGCCAAGCATCTATTTACTTAATTAAAGCAAAAACACTCGAGAACATTTGGCAGCTCAACAATTCATGTTTTCCCTCCAAAAGCTAAAAATATTTTTTTAAAAAAATGGACACGTGGCACATATTATGGGCCGGGAACAAGCTAAATTTTTTTTTAGAAAAACCTCCTTTTTTTAATGATAACTACTCCTGACTAAAAGGAAATTGATCTTGCTTTCAATGCTTAATGAAAATCAACTTCAAAACTGAAAAAAATCCTAACCTTATCAACCAAATCCTCATGTTTGAAATTCAAATTGGATGATTAGTTTCCGAGTTCAATTGAAATTCTTCTTTTCTGAGATGATGTCTCTTTAAAAGAGCCAATCTATTTTCAAAATAATTCTTCTCTTCTGCAAAAATCAAGCCGTCTAGAGGACGTTTGGGATCCCCAATGTCAAATTGAAAAGAGATCCACCTATGAAGCAGATCGGTATTAAAACAATGATTGCATTACCGGTATTAAAACATACTCTTCAAATCCATCGTCGTCTGCCACTCTGATCAACAGATCCCGTCAGTGATTTTATTTTAAGTATATATTTTGTTTAGTTCTATTGATTTTATTTTCTTTACTATTTGGATCGTTGAATGTGAAAGTATATTACAGACTAAAGAAAGATTTAATCTGGGAATGGGGAATCTGGTGTTCCAGAAATAGATTCAAGCAACATCAACAATTGAAATGAAAAGCGAATGACCAAAAGCCCAAAAATTGGAGCAGTGGGAAGGAATCTGATGGAACCAAGATTTTCTGGTGAAACAAATCAGTCCGGCGAAGTGAACCGATCATATGCAACGGAGGCTAGAGAAGGGAAAATTATTTATTTGGGAAAAAAGTCAGAACCTACGCTCTGAAACCGTTAAGTCCGTTCCCAGATCCTCTTCTACCTACATACCCAACATGTAAGATTTTTTCCTACCTTTTTTGCATTTTTTGTTAGGCAATTCTTCTCTTCTCTATAAATTAATTGGCCTTTTGTTTGATTGTTTTCCAGTCTTTTTTTTTTTTGGCGTGGTTTTGCTGCGAGTGAAGGTGAGAAGAAAAAGCGATACCGAATCCTACGGGCCTTACCGCTTCGAAACCACCAACAAAAAGGCATTGTAAGACATTTGCCTCTTTGAATTCTCTGGTCATTCTTAGAATTAGGGTTTCTTTAGCTGTTCACTTTTAGCCGATGAATCTGATGTGATATGTTAATTGGAACAATTGAGACTTTAATCGAAACGAGCACTAATGGAATCAACTTTTTTTTTTATCTTCCTTGGACTGATTTTGTTTGTTTTGCTTCATTCCAATAACGGTGAGACCCCTTCGAGTTGACGACGACGACTCCTCTGAAATCGGCTCTGAGGTACAATTCCTTTTGTTGCTTAAGTTGAACTTTTGAATTAGAGCAGTAGTGTACTTTGATGAAATACAGTTGTAGATATGTGAGAGGCAATGTTAGTAACATCTTAATTACCTTGAGAAGTGGACAATAATCACTATTAATTATCACCACACAAGATGGTGTTACAATAACTCTGTTGTTGAACTATAAATGTGACCTTACCTAACTGAAACCATAAAACTAGAGAATATTTGCCAAGGTTACCAATAACCAAAAACCTCCCTTTTTGTTTCCTGTTATGAGTTTTAGTTGGTTTTCTCGTATTTTTAGCCGAGTTATTGATGGGGTCTTGGCCAGAACAATTTTGTCAAAGTTATATATCACTTACATTTATTCTTTCCTTTCTTTTGATTCTATATATCTTTCTCGGACAGAAAGTGACTGTAAGAACTGTGAGAAAGAAGCAATTGGCCATTTGCTATTCTGCCTTGCGTGATTTCGAGGATATCTACCCTGGGGATGATGATGATGAGTTTGATCACAAGGAATGTGACATTAATGATTATGACCTTGATGCTATTTTTAGTTCCTCTTTTCTTAAAATACAATCTTAAGCCTACTTATATGGAAAGAGTTTTCTAAGTTTTATTTAGTTTTTGGTTTGTTTAATACCTATGGTTGCTTTTTTAGTTTAATTATCAGTTTAAGATGGTTTTCTTTAGTTTATATTTTCTTGGTTAAGATGTAGGAAAGGTGTCATGACATATCTAGTCTGCAGATCACTGATAATTGTATGGTTGTAAATGAGCATCATGTTAAGAGAAACACTGATTCAATTTATAGTAATCAGGTAGAGTTTCTCTATTTTCTTCTGTTTTTTGTTTTAATTATATATTTATTTGAGTTACTCAGAGCATTATAGATATATGGCAATGTATAAACCTTGATGGAATTTTACGATCAAACTTGATTTGTCTAAGGTTGGTTTACTATTTGATCATAAGAGTTTAGAAAAATGAGTTTTTAATGCACTGATTAGAACTTTAATGCACTTTTGCTTTACATTTTTTTGTAATGAATCTTGTTGGTTAAGTATGCTTAGGGCTGAATTGACATATTTGTTCTCTTCTTAATTTTCAGTGGAAGCAGCGAATACGGTTAACAAGGATCAGGGACAACCATCGAATTCCAGGGAGAATACGCCAACTACAAAGTTTGATATTAAGAAGTGTGAAAATGCAATCACTATTTTCTGGTAAAATCTCTGTTCAATTATGTTTAGCTTTATCTCATACAACATGCTTTGAAGGTACTTCAGGTCACTCATTCATTACTGTGTGTACTATCACTTCATGTATATCCTAAGTGGATTACGTGTGAATAAATTTTAATAAGCTAGGGCAGAGGTTATCAATTTTGCTGAAAGAATAAAAGCAATCAGCACTTGGCATGTACATGGACCATACATTTCATATGGATGAGAAGCTTGCAGAAAGCCATCAATTTTTCTATGGTCTTTAGCTTCATATCACAAAGAATGCTTGGATTTTAAAATCGATTCTTTCATCAATATATAAGTTATGAGTGATGAACTTCTACTTGCATCATGACCATCATTGCAACATAAGTTGGGATTCAGGGATGATTGAAATCATCCTTTCTATGTTTCTAAGAGTTGGAAAAGCATATTGCATATTTATGGTAGGTTGTATTAGTTCCTAGAAGAATTTCTTACTGAAAAAAACTTGAAAAAATTTTCTTTTATTTCCAGAACAAACGTACAGACTTCAGAACATAAGATGCTTTCACCCAATCTAACAAAGGTGCTTATGGTTGGATTAAGTGCAAGGGTCTCATGGGTTACTATGCAAACAAGGTGATGTACTCTCCCATCATGATATATTTGATTCAAGCTTTTGAGTTTAAATTCAGTTTACATGCTTTTAAATTTTAAATTCAGTTTACCTGCTTTTAAATTTTTTGGTGCTTCTGTTGGCCAGGTTACATCAAGGAATGCTTCTAAGTCCTTTTTGGAAATATAACTCATATCTTGGGAGCTCTGATGAGATTTGTTGTATAATAATGATTTTTTTACTCTAATTACATTATCTAAATAAGCAGTGTGGATGTATCATGTGATTACAATACATTATATAATTTTTTGATGCATTTTCTGGACCTTTGCAACTTTAGATGCAGGGCTCTTTTTCTGGTTGCTCCATTGTACTGTAGCGGCCATCATTATGTCGATATATGCAAAACAACGATCTGCATTTTAACAAATGTTTTAACGAAACTCAAATTCTTTTATTTCTCTTTGCATATTGTCAAAAACTTTAACGATACACTTGGATGTTTGAGAAAATTTTATCTTATTGCGCATAATATAATAAAATATATTGATTTAATGGTATGATCAATTGTTTTTTGATTTAACATGTTTAGGATTTGGGTTGGTTTCAAAACCCTATTTCTCATCTCTCACTAAACACTCTTGTAATAACTAAACGCTCTCATCTCTCACTAAATTTTCTTGTCCGAATACCCTATTTCTCTCTAATGGCGGCCAATCAGCCGCCGGATGATAACGGGCAAAAGTTGCCCTCTTTTGCCCAGATATTGAAAAATTCAAAGACCATCCAAGAAACATCATCAACCCCCCCCCACCCCCCGCCGCGAGAAATCACATCCAGTAACTCCTTCCATTAAATCCAAACCCTCTGTCTACAAGGGGAAACCCACGTTTCTACTCACGAAAGAAGAGGATGAAATCCTAACCGCCCCTTTCAAACTTTCATTGGTCAGAAAATTCTCTAAAGGGCGGCCAAGAATGGATTTTCTATGGCATCAATTTCAAAAAATTGGATTCAGGGGCAATTTTTCTCTTAGCATGATTAACCACAGGCATATTCATATACTCTTTGATCTAGAAGAGGATTATCACCGGTGTTGGATTAAAGGACTTTGGTCCTTTGATCATCATTTTATGCATGTATTAAAGTGGACTCCCCAATTCAACACTGAGCAAGAATCATCCATCGTCCCGGTCTGGATCGCCTTTGAAGTTTTGCCACTACATCAGTTTAATGTAGAGTACTTGAGCAAATTGGCAAGTATAGTTGGTACGCCACATCGGTTATTATGCGCATTATAGTTGGTACGCTACATCGGTTATTATAGTATTATAGTTGGTCTGGATCACCTTCGACGGTTTGCCGCTACATCGGTTTAATGCAGAGCACCTGAGCAAATTTGCAAGTATAGTTGGTTAGCTACATCGGTTATTATAGTTGGTACCCATATTATGCGTGTGTTAAAATGGACTCCCCAATTCAAGACTAAGCAAGAATCATCCATCGTCCCGGTCTGGATCGCCTTCGAAGGTTTTCCACTACATCGGTTTAATGCAGGGTACTTGAGCGAATTGGCAAGTATAGTTGGTACGCCACAGAAAATTGACGTCCCGACACTAAATCTATCAAGGCCCTCAATTGCTAGGGTTCGCGTCGAGGTCAATTTATTACAAGATTTGCCGCGAAGAGTTCTTCTTGGCACGAAAGATTATTCATACTACCAAGAAATTACTTATGAGAATCTGCCGGAGTATTGTTCTGAAGGTAAGAACGTTGGCCACGGTGTCAAAGATTGTTGTCGTGGTAAACCAAAGGCACAGCCGAACCAAGTCACAAAGGTTTCCTTGAAGATGCTGGAAAAGGTTAAAATTCAGCCTCCAGTAAACCAAACAAACTGGAAACAGAAGCCTCATGTCAATGGAGAGAATGATAATCAAGCGATGTCGGCTTCCAATGCTTCTTCATCTGGACTGTCAACGGAGGAGAAGCATGAAACCCCAATTGATATTGTAGACAACAGTCCCCCCAATCTATCATCTGGCAAACGATAGATCTCTAAGGAGCAGCTGGAAACAATACTTGAAAATAGTATGGAAAGAAGTAAGTCTGCTTCGTGGGAAGAGCAGGAACATAAACAAAAAACTGGGGATGTGGCAAACCCTTGAAAAAAGCTCGCTGTTTTCATTCCGCAAGTGGACTTGTTGTCTTGCTTCGCTGTATTGGATGATTTGAGTGAAGGAAATGGTGATGGTGATCAGGATATTGGTAACCTTCATACTGGAGACAACGTCGATGATGTTTGCGTCAAAGAGACGGTGATAACTGAAGTTGAATCAGACTCTGATATAGAGGGGATTACTACTGAATCAGCTATTTTGACAACTACGGATGGAGCTCGCGCAAAGGATGATACTGTGATTGTGAACACTTCCAGCTTGGGAGATTACAAAAACATCCGGCTTGTGGTATCAGATGAAGAAGATCATGGGTAACCAAAACCTGGCAGACCGAAAGGATCCACGAAAAAGAAGACAGTTCTACCAATCGAAACTCGTAAATCTTCGAGACTCAATGGCGGTTCATGTCCAAAGGTTTCCGATGATTAATCAGCTCATTTGGAATATTCACGGAGTTTGGAGTAAGGCATCCCGACGACGTTTGAGAAATTTTTCTTTTTTTTGATAAAACAAAGAATTCATGTATTAACTTCATAAACTGTACAATGCTATTTCATCTATTACATTTATTCAGGGTTTCTGTATAAACACGTAACTGAGCTAGAAAACTTCGGTTAGTAACTCTAATGTTCCTGCACTGAAACAAAATTTTCTGTCTGATCTCATGCTTGATTCTGTCAGCTTGTTCCTTTACTGCCATTGCTTTTTGACCATTCCTTCTTCCATTTCTCTCCATCCAGATGCCATAGATTGCAGCATTAAGGCATGCAAATAAGATTCTCTGTCTCAGCTTCTTTCTTTTCCAAATTTGCAGCCACCTTTGGGCATTCAGTCCTTGGATATGAGTTCTGATGTCCAGCTATCTTCTAAGTTCTGTCATTAGCTCCTATGCAAATTCACATCTGAAATATACATGCTCAACACTATCAACTGCCTTCTAACATAATCCACATATATTATTACTTACTACCAACTGCAATTCCATCAACCTTTGTGCTGTCAGCAGCCTGTTCTTCCAAGCCAACCAATTGATAAAGCTGTGCTTAGGGAGACTCAGGTTGCTCCATATGATCCTTGCTGGTGCGAATCTTCTTTTTTCCCCCCTGAACAGTTCATATCCACTACCAGCAGTATATATCTTAGTTGTTGTAGCTGACCATTGCCCACTTTGTATGCCTGCTATCATCAATTCTTTGATCTTCATCAGTTTCTTCATATGCCAGCTACTATCATGAGGTAATTCATATTGCCAAAGGTCCTTTCCTTTAAGATAATAGTGATGCACCCATTTTACCCATAAGCTGTCTTTATTCTTTGCTATATCCCACAACCGTTTGCCCATTGGTGCCATATTCCAGGTCCTTGGCTCTTTTATGTTTAATCCACCCTCTTTTTTCTTGCAGCAAAGATCATCCCAAGCCACCAATGACTAGCTTTTCCCATTTTCCTTTGTTCCCCACAAGTATCTCCTGCATTTACTTATAACATGTTGTATCACACTTTGTGGGATCAAGAAAATACTAGCCCAGTAAGAGTTGATGCTCAACAGAACTGTGTTAACTAGTAAAGCTCTCCCTGCATATGATAAGTGTCTTGAACTCCAGCAATTTATCCTGGCAGTAATATTTTCAATCAATATTTGACATTCAGCTTTTGTCCATGATGTAGGAGATATAGGCAACCCTAAGTATTTCATAGGGAACTGGCCTACTGTAAAGCCCATAATCTGCTGAATATCTGGTTCCACCTCTTCTGTTTGTCCTCTAAAGTATAAACTAGACTTGCTGATATTGATGGACAGTCCAGTTGTCTCCCCAAATTGATTCAACACAACTTTAATCTTCTTTACTGTTCCTACTTCAGCCCCACAGAATATGAGCAAATCATCTGCAAAGCTAAGGGAAATGATCCTCAAAGTTTCACAATATGGATGGTACTGAAAATCTTCCTTTTCTGCTTCCATTTTCAGTAATCTAGTAAGATATTCCATTACCATTACAAATAGTAATGGAGATAAAGGATCTCCCTGCCTCAATCCTCTTCTTCCCTCAAAGTGACCTGTAATACTACCATTCAAGTTCAGGGAGTATGAACTGGTGGTTACACATTCCATAATCCAGTTGATCGCTCTTCTTAGGAATCCATACTCTTTTAACATCTCTCCAATAAAATCCCAATGAACTGAATCAAATGCCTTCTTTAAATCCACCTTCATGACACAACTTGGTTTAGCATTTTTCCTCCTGTACATCCTGATCAGCTCTTGGGTTAACATGATATTATGAAAGATTAATCTCTGCTTAATGAAAGCACCTTGATTGAGGTCCATCAATTCAGGTAATATTAGACTGATTCTCTTGCACAACATCTTGGAGATGTATTTGTATACTGTATTGCAGCAGGATATTGGTCTGAATTCTGCAGCATTTCTTGGCACTTCTGTTTTTGGTATAAGAGATATGAGTGTTGCATTGAATTACTTGAGCATTTTCCCTTTACTGAAGAACTCCAATACTGCATCAGTCACTGCATTTCCAACTATTGGCCACATTTTCCTATAAAAACCACTACCAAAGCCATCTGCACCAGCACTTTTGTTGATATCAATCTCAAACATAGCTTGTTTTACATCAGCTGAAGTAAAATTTGCAGTCATAAGAATCTGCTGGTCTATTGACAGTGTGATCCCTGATCTGAAAACTTCATTCTTTGCTTTTGTTCTCTTCCAGCATGTTCCTAACAGCTGTTGATAGTACTGCAAGAAATGATGTTCTACCTCAGGCCATTCTTCTATCAGCTCCCCTTGTTCATTCACAAATGATCTTATCTTATTCCTGGTAGTCTTCTGCTGAATGCTAGCATGAAAGAATCTGGTGTTCATATCTCCCTCCTGAATCCATCTATCTTTTAGTTTTTTATTCCAAAAACTGATTACTGCCTTGCTATATTCACAATATGTTTTAGTTACTGTTTTCTCCTCCTCCTGAATAAGCTCGTCCCTCAGATTGCTCAGTAGTCTTTTCTGTACATCTTCAAGTTTCATTTTCCACTCCTTCTCTTTCATATCTATATTAGCAAAGTGCTATTTGTTGAAATTTTTCAGCTTCTGTTTTTGCATCAGACAAAACTGTTTACTTCCTTGTATTTCCTTGCTCCACCCCTCTCTTATCACAGCTTCAAAATCTTGATGTTCCATCCACATATAAAGAATTTGAATGACCTCCTATTCTCCACTTTCTCTTCTCCCCATTTCATCATTAAAGCTGAGTGGCCAGAGATTCCTGCAGGTAGAATGTTGACATAACTTTGAGAAAATTTTGTCAACTATTCATCATTAACAAGAACTCTATCCAGTTTAGCCCATATTCTTTGATCTCCTACTTGTTTATTGCTCCAAGTAAATTCCCCACCATATGATTGCATCTGCCATAATTCACATGCCTCAATCATTTCCTTGAATTTGTCTGAATCAGAACTAATTTCATTCCTTCCTCCCATCTTTTCTTCATTACTCATAAGGCAATTATAATCACCCTTCATTATCCAAGGCTGATGTATTCCTTTGGCTAAGTCCACCAACTCCTGCCAAAGTTGACTTCTGCCTTGAACTGTATGATCAGCATACACCACTGTCAAGTAATACTCCTTTCTTTGCTCTTGCACTAAACAGTGTATGAACTGTTTTGTGATAGTTTTCACTGCTACTACATACTCTCCTTTCTTCCATAGCAACAGTATCCTGCCTTTCTCTTGATTCTAATGATTACTGATGTAATCAAAATTGGTCCATTTTCTTGCCATTAGTTGCTCAACATTTTCACCATTTAGCTTAGTCTCAATCAACCCTGCCATCCCAACCTTATTAACTTAGAGGAAATTAGTGACTTCCCTATGTTTCAGGGGACTGTTAAGTCCCCTAACATTCCATGAACTTATGCTATTCATGATTGCTAGACCCTGGATCAGGGTGACTAGTATCTTTATAACATATAGAGTTCACTGATTTCAATTTGTCAGTTAACCTTCCTTCAGCTTTCTTGATGCCTTTTTGATTCAGAATTTGCACTCCATCCTCCATTGTACCTTGACTGGAACCAGGGCTTCCTGTCACTCTTCTGAGGTGATCTTATTCAATTCTTATTTTTTGCTTCCTGTCTTTTCGTTATAGCCACTGTCATAGGCCTGTTTTGTTGGTTCTGTTTTCCTTCTCCTTCTTTATCTATCTACTTATCCTTCAAAGGTTGTCTCTCTTTCACTTGCTCTGGTATTCTTTGTTGCCATTCCTTCTTTACTGGAACTTTGCACTTTTCAGTTTCATGACCATATCCTCTGCAATTGTGATACTTTAGTGGCTTCCATTCAAATCGGATCTCCTGTTCCTGCAATTCCCCTTTTTCATTTTCAAACCAAACCACATCTTGCAATTTCTCCTTTATTTCAACCTCTATCAGTACACGAGCATATCCTGCTCTCAGCTTTTGAGATGTCATATCATCCATCTCAATTGGATTGCCAACAAAACTAGCAATTCTGCTGAGTGAAGTTGCATTACAGTATCTCAATGGCAACTTTGGCAATTGAATCCACACTGGTACCTTTAGAATTTCATCCATATTAATCTCTTCCTCAACTGACCAATCCTTCACAATGAAAGGCCGATTATCAAAGTGGTACAGGTTGAATTTCAGCACTTCCTCTTTTGCTGCTAATGTCTTGAATCTAACCACAAATATACCATTTTCCAGTAATAAAACTTTATCCACTCCCAAGCGTCCCCAATTTCTTCTTATATATCCATTCACTACTGGAAACGGAGGATTTGCTCCAAGTACATATCATAATACTGAAGATTTAGTAATCAATCTCATTTTGCACTTCCTCTTGTGTAATTTTGCTAATAACACGATCATTCACCTTCCTAGGCTCAATATACCTCAGCTTCTTATCATTCTGCTGCAGTGATTTAGGGTCAAAAGAGTTCCATACATTCGACTCAGTAAACTCTACTTCCCTATCAGATTCAGTGTTATTATTCCTTTTCTTCACTCCCGAACCTTCCCCCACAGCAATTATGCGATTATTACCTAAGCTCTTCAGCATTAATGGCGATTCAGACAAATTAAATGCAGAGTTAGGTTTAGATACCTTTTCCGAACTTCCACAATTCAGTGTGAATTCGCCCATTGGATGCCGTTTTTCCTCATCTGGTTGTTTAGTGGTGTTGCTTGTAGCTGTTTCCCCCTGATTCTTCGTCTTCCTTGCCATCGCAGACGTGAGATCACGTCGAAGAAGCCGTTGACGGTTACACACACTCA